CACTTAAAAACAAGTTGTTGCCTGGCAATGGGAATAAAGGAAAAAAAAGGTGCAAAAGTTTGTTGAGTTGCCCAGATGTAGCCTGAAAATGTAGACGACAGCTCTGATCTTATTTTAATAAAGTTCTTTTGTTACTGTTTGTGTGTGTGCCTGCTTAGTGTTGGAATTTTAAGGATCAGTAGGACTGAATGACAAGGCATCAATGAGACTCAGAAATAAATTTTTTAGATAGTAAGAATACTTCAAAATGAGTAAATTTTTAATAAAGAGAAGCACACTTGCAAACACAGTTTTGGAGGAATCTAAATAAAAATAAGTGGATACAAGAAAATAACACAACCCTCCTGAAAACAATCAAGAATAAATATGTGGTCTCAATGAGAAGGAACTCTTCCATTGCTACATAGCAAAAATATATAAAAATATATATATATATATATTGAATGTAAAGCTGTGGGAAAGGACTTCATAGTTCAGGTCCAAGCAAGGGTCCAGAGGTTCACACATATCCAGCCAGCCAGTGTTGAAACCGGATAAGATGACAGTAATCTCATCAGAAATACCTCAGCTTTGTCCACGTGAAAACACAAACAAGAGGAGTTGAGGCCCATCTCAGACAAAGGTAAGTTGCCTACCTGTAAAATGGAGCAAGCAGTCCATTAACTTCTAGTCATACACTTAGAGGTCTACCAATTTGCATTTGCCAATTCACTACTAATAGAGGCAATACAACTTTGTTCAGCATCCAACAATTCATTGATCACTATACTGGATTTTAAAGTTTTATATCTATCCATCAAACTAGAGCATTGTTTTTACAGTTTGTGAGACTGCTGATATGGAAGGTTGCAAACAATATATGTCACAAGCAAATTCTTGAATTATCCAATGTGCTCTGTTACACCTCCTGTTTAAATATTCTATTCTTCCACAAACCAGGAAAAATAAATAAAATAACAAACACACTAACCTTATGTTTCTCCCAGGAGGATAGATCTAAAGTGTTTGTTTTGTGTTAACTTTTTCACTATCTAGCTGGAAGAAACCTGAGGTTAGTGTGTTTGTTACACCTGCTTTCAACTAGATGGCTAGGTTTGCCTTCAAAAAAGAGGAGTGCCTATGGTTGGGCCTTATCTGGAGAACTAGCTGAAATGATGATATGTCTCTTAGAGGCCAAGATCATTCATAAGTTCCTCTCTCACATTGAAATATACAAAAAATACAATGATGATGTACAGGATGATTATAATTGAAGTTGCACTACCCAGACCTGTCTAGAGCCCATTCTCGTGGATGTATTTTGATGAAACTTGGTATATATTAATATGTTATATGGACCATGGAAAAAATGAAAATGCAAAGAAGATATTTAGTTCAAATTTTTACCACTAGGTAAAAAAATGGCACATGAAGAACAAGAAACATAAAATGAAAACATGCAAAAGGTTTTTATTCACATTTGTTCAATATGCAATCCATTTGAATCAATTATGTGTTCAAAACACCTTACAATGCTATAAGGTGTTTTGAACACGTAATTTGTTTCATTTTATGTTTCTTGTTCTTCATGTGCCATTTTTTTACCTAGTGGTAAAAATTTGAACTAAATATCTTTTTTGCATTTTCATTTTTCCCATGGTCCATATCTATACTAACATTATAAAGAGGTAAAGTTTGTAAGTTTGGATGTAGGAGGTAATCTTCAAAACTACTCATCCAATTTCAAAAATTCTTTCACCAATATTTAGAATGGACCTTCAGGGTGGACATAGGCTGTATATTATTCCGTTGATCATTCATATAAATTAAAAGATATCATCTACGTCAACTGTCGGCAACTGGTAATCTGCGGACCATCAATGGGCCGCGAGAAAATTTGGGTGGTTCATGGAGAAATTTGAACATTGATCAGCCGAAGGTTACGCAAAGTATTATGAAAGAAATGTAAAATGCTTAGTTGCTTTTTTTCACTCATTGGGGCTTTTATTCAAATCTAAAACCAAAAACAAAGTGACTTATCAATAAATAATGAACAATAAACAATATTGTAAGTGCAATTGTTGTCTTTTGTGGAAAAGCGCAAAGAATCCATAAACTTGTTTCAAACAAACAGCAATGAACTTTAGACTTGCATTAATTTGTTATAATTAAACATGCGAGTTTCATATTAATGTAGTAAAATTGAACTTTTATGATCATTATTCTACAGATTTTGTATCGTTTAAAAAAAAAAAAATTCATGATAATGGTCTGCGGAATTCAAAATTGTGACTAGTGGTCCGTGAGGTGAGAAAGGTTGCCGACTGCTGATCGAGATAAGCGTTATATTTTTGGTGTCAGCGAGTGGCGAGGGGCAAGACGCGTACGTATATGAGATAGGTAACCACACGGCGCAGTTGCGTGATCAGCGAGATACGCAGCGCACAGATATATAAAATTACATGTCCTGACTGATTCATCAATGCCCAGAGCAAACCGCTGAACCTAGAGGTGAAATTTGGTACACAGTTAGGGTACATCATGAAAATGCACATTAAGAAAGGATTTTTTGAAATTCCCCCGTAGGGGGAGAGGGAGAGGATTAAGGCTTAACCTGAAGAACGTCTTCTACTGTACTATTTTAGATGTGATTTTTTGTTTTTATAGTAACAACTAATGTTGAGAATCTTAGTGAAGTATTGAGGGAGGGTTATTTCTATCAAATTGCAAATTCTGTGCAGATGAAGCCGCAGATAACAGCTAGTAACATATATACCAAGTTTCATCAAAATACATCCACGAGAATGGGCTTTAGACAGGTCTGAGTAGTGCAACTTTAATTATAACCACCCTGTATTTATCATCTGGAAAAGATGATAAGCCTAATGTCAGTTTCTTGCAAATATGAATGACAATCTAATTTAGGCTCAACTCTTGAATTGAATCAAATGAGCAATAAAAATTGCATACAGGCATAAACCCCATACATTCAAGCTGCTGGTCAATGAAAAGGATTGAGCTGACATATAGCATAACGGATCTATAAAATACCACTCAAGAATAACAGATTTGGTAGGGACCATGTTTACATCAGTTCTATGAAAAAATCTCTTACGCAATGCCTTCTGGAGCATAAAGTGGATAAAGAAAAGAGAGGCAGACAACTGTCCTAACTATATATACCAGTGACAATAAAATTAAACCACAACTACTCTGATATAAAAATGCCCAAAACTAAACAACTTAGGAAATTAGAACTGCTGGAAATATATAAAGAGAACCTCCAAGCTATCCATCAACTTTAAGGAAGAAAAGCAGATCTCTTGAGCAAGGCAGACCATATTTGATCTGATATAATACAACATGTAAACTATAAACAAACACACTCCATTGAATGCTTAAAAATTTTGAAGTTAAACTCATCAGAGAATCCTCTAAACATTCAATTCCAGAATGTTATTACTAGAAAGATTTGATTTTTGAAAGGATATACCTGAAGAAAATCTAAGAAGTGGACCAAAAATATTTGTAATGAAAAGCTCACTTATCTGCAATGCCAATTTAAAGTTTGTCAGTTTATTTTAAGACATTTATAATCATGCCAAAATGTATAATTCTATGAAAATATATTTTCTAGCAAAGAGAAAAATTAGCTATTGGAGAGTACAAAGTTAACTGAAAGATCTAAAACACAAATAATCAAAATTGTTTCTAAACAAAAACCCAGTTTATCAGAAAAACAATTCAACCTAAAACAAAATTGTGCTTTCAGTGTCAAAATAATATGACATTTGTAAGAATCAAATCTTTCTGAAACTAGAGAATTGACTTAAGCCATCTTTTAAAATATGTAGATATAAAGATGAGAATGCTAATAACATTGCAGTAATAAATTTTCCAATTCAAAAATTCAGCCAGATAGCTATATAATGAGACATCTTCCTACTATTGTAACAGATCAGACCAAAGACAGTGACCAGAATATGGCCCCAGTGTTCTGCAACCAGTGTGCCATCACATGGTGAAAGGTGTGACGTGAACTTTTACATATTCTGTTAATTTCAAGTTTTATTTATATATTTTTATCACAGTTGTAGTGTTTCTTAAGCTTGTATTTCATTCTCTGTCTCAGCACTGATGAAATAAGATGATTGTTTCTTCTTTATTATAAGCCACGCATTTTTATGTATTCTAAGAAATTATATGTAAAATGAATTTGCTCACAGGTTTGATGTATTTTAATAACAATAATAATAGGTTAGTGGCATTATGTAATTCCATTAATAGTATCATATCATACATTTTTGAGGGAAATAACATTTTGGTGTGCCATGTTGAGTCATGGGTGTGCCGCAAGTAGAAAAAGGTTGCGGAACACTGATCTAGACTGTAAAATTCATTATGATAATGCATGTTTTGAGGTATTGTTTCCTATCTCTCTCCTAATTAGCCAATCCTATTGTGTAAATTATACCTGTCTGCAACTGACATAATTGATTATATAACTTAATGTGATATTGCTATATAGCCTAAATATGCTGGTGCTTCTAACTAATTATTCAATCAATCAATCAAACCTTAAAAATCATCAAAAATTTGTAAGACACTATTTTTTAATGTCAAAAAATAAGTTTGTACTGAAATAAATTCTTAAGTAACTATCTCCAATTCCAAACTGCCAAACAATCACTTTACTTTTCTTGATGACAATATAGAAAGAGGACATTAAAATGAAATCTCTTCTCATATAAAATCAAACCAAAGCTGAAGCCAGTGGAAAAATTACCATCATTATAACTATCACACAATAATAATTTGAAAGTTTTACTCAATAATCTGAGATAAATTTTGAAGATTCAGATATGCTATTAAAAATCTTTGATTTGTAATAAGTTAGCAATTAACATTCCTCTATGAAATTTGTTTATCATCATGTTGCAATCATATATTTTTTTTTTATTACTACAAATTGAAAGCTTAAAAATACTTGAAATTAAAAAACTAGAATACAGTTTACTTACCATCTTGAGTATTTGGATCAACCGTAGCAGAAACACACATGCACGTTTTAACATTTGGATTATAAACACATTCATGTAAAGTCTGCAGTCTGTTCATATGAACTACAGTTGTTGTAACAGTGATTACCACACACAGGAGTGCACAAATTAGACAACAACCTCCTGCAAGTTTAATCTATAAATGTAAATAATTACAACTGTTATTTTAAAGCATTAATATCAGCTGGTTTAAATTTAATTATTAGATTATAAATCATCTAAATGGAAATTGTAAGATAAATTACATGTACTACTGTGATCAAAAAATATCTGGAATAGTTCATTTAAACTGCGTGCACGCAAAAGAGTGCTGTCATCATTTTTTCATCATTTGTTACAACTCTCATCAATATCTAACAGCAATCTACATCATTGTCTGTTTTAGTTTGCAAATAAATGTTTGTTTTTTTGTGTAAAGAATTTTTTTACCAGCAATTTTTGAAAACATCGAGTCTAATGAGCAAGGAAAATGCATTAAATTTTGTTTTTGCAACAAAATTACTGCTATAAAAACATTGGAAATGTTGCAAAAAGCTTTTGGTGATGATAGACTATCAAACACAAGTTTTTGAGTGGGAAAGGTGTTCAAGAAGGCAGAGAACTTGTTGAAGATGAACTACACTCTAGACCATCCACTTCCTGAAATATTGAACTTTTTCCAAAACCAATGCATCTCAGTGGCCGAGGAAATACTTTCTTGAGGAAAATCATTCTTAAAATGCATCATTATGGGAGATGAAGCATAGATCTATACGTTTGACATCAAAACAGCTCAACAATTGAGGTTAAATGCACTCGAAAGGTGAAGCAAGACCAAAAAGAAAACAACAAATTCAGTCTAAAATTGTGCTGACTGTTTTCTTCAAGTATTGTGGTAGTGTGCATCATAAATTTCTTCCGAATGGCCAAACTGTCAACAAAGAATATTATTTGAGCATTTTGTGTCATTTGCGTAAAGCAATTCGTAGAAAATGACCCAATTTGTGGAAAGAAATGCATGGGTTTTGCACCATGATAATGCATCTGCTCACAATACTCATTTGTGAATTTTTGGCCAAAAATTCAACAAACAATACAACAAATATGGTTCTGCATATTCCATATTCACTCAATATGGCACTGTGTAACTTTTTCCTGTTTCCTTGACTAAAATTTTTGCTTTGTGATCATTGTTTTGAATTGATTGATGCCATAAAACAAAATTCTCTGCAAGATCTGAAGGTGTTTCATGAAAATGAGTTTAAAGCATGTTTCAAGGACTGGAAAAATGATGGCATAAGTACATTGCAGTGGGGGAATTACTTTGAAGGAGATGAAATAAATTTTGATGAATAAATTCAAAATTGCATCTTGAACCATTATTGAACTACTCCTGATACTTTTTGATCACAAATATAATATGACTTCTGCAGTCAAAATTTAAATCACTAATATTACAGAAATTCAACAATATTCAATTTAAATGATGTTCAATTATTAGTGTTATCACAATATATTTAACATCACAGTAATCCATACAAAAACTTTACTGTAATCATAACAAAAATCAAATGTTTAAAGAAATTCTAGCTGTATATTATTTTACAACATACAGAGAAAGAAATTTGAATATGAATACGTAAATTAAAAAATAACGACAATAATAATCTCAGAAAAATAAACACGAGAAAAATGTTCATCAGAAAAATATATACATATCAATCAATAAATTATAAAATTCTTTGTTTACTTTGGATAATGTATTAACCATGTTTATTAGCAAACAAATTACTAGACTGAAAATAATAATAAAATCAATTAAAACTATTGATACAATATTTAAGAAAATGTTAATCTTACAAATAGTAAAATTTACACCTTATATTCTCTGTGGAATAAGGAACAAAGTAGGGTTATTCACATGTATATCTTTCTGCCACAAAATCAGCTAATTTGTGCTAAACTGTTTTTGTATAGCAGACTAGCTTAACAAAATTGATTTTCCAAAGCTTCTTCCTTTTACAAAAAATCGACACACCTGAACCAATTACGGTGTGATCATGCAAAAGATCGGAAAACAAACGTTTTCGAACCCCTTCTAGGTTCTGCTTCAGGTTCTAATCAGCTTCTAAAGACGTTCGATGTCCGTTATAAGTAGAAATTCGATCGTTCATGTCGTTTAAAGCTTGAAATTTAAATTGTAGGTTCGAATGGATTCACGTAATCCAAGTCGCGCATGTGCGATTGGTTAACCCGTCATAGTTTGATGGGTGAATTAGAGCGTGTTGTGAATTAACTCCTGCCAGGCCATCGATAACAGCATCTCCTCTTTAAAATTTATGCACGTGTTGTTGGTGGAGGATATAAATATGTGCATAGCCTCTAGCCATTTGAGGTGTTCGATAGGAGGCGAATCATGGAGGAGAATGGCCTGGGAGAAGTTCGCTACTATATCCGGATCAGTTACATACGTAGCGAGGGCCGTGGAAGTTCTTCCGTGCCGAATATCGGCTAGATGCTCTTGTATTCTGACTCCCAGAGATCGTTTAGTGGAGCCTATATAAATCAGGTTCCTATCGCACCTGTTGTCCTTCACTGGGATGCTATAGATTCCAGGGCGTCTGATGGGGTTAGGAGGGTCCTTTCCATTACGTAAGAGGTTGAAGATGGTGGGACACC